ACTACTAGCGACCGCCTGCCACCCAATAGCGATGGCCTCCAAACTACCAGCGACCGCCTACCAACCCAACAGCGATGGCCTCCGAACTACCAGCGACCGCCTGCCACCTACTAACGATGGCCTTCAAACTACTAGCGACCGCCTGCCACCCAATAGCGATGGCCTCCAAACTACTAGCGACCGCCTGCCATCTAATAGCGATGGCCTCCAAACTACTAGTGACCGCCTGCCACCCAGTAGCGATGGCCTCCAAACTACTAGCGACCACCTGCCACCCAATAGCGATGGCCTCCAAACTACTAGCGACCACCTGCCAGCCAATAGCGATGGCCTCCAAACTACTAGCGACCGCCTGCCACCTAATAGCGATGGCCTCCAAACTACTAGTAGTGGCCTCCAACCTAAAAGCGATGGCTTGCAACCTAATAGCAGTAATGGCCTCCAACGCAGGAGGGGTGGTTCCAACCTAATATCCATGGCTTCCAGCCTACTAGCGATCTCCAACCTACTAGCGATGGCCTCCAACCTGCTACTAGCGATGGCCTCCAACCTACTACTAGCGATGGCCCCCACCCTACTACTAGCGATGGCCTCCAACCTACTACTAGCGATGGCCCCCAACCTAAGAGCGATGGCCTCCAACCTAAGAGCGATGGCCTCCAACCTAGTAGCAATGGCCTCCAACCTACTAGAGCGATGGCCTCCAACCTACTAGAGCGATGGCCTCCAACCTACTAGCGATGGCTTCAACCTACTATAGCGATGGCCTCCAACCTACTATAGCGATGGCCTCCAACCTAATAGCGACCGCCTGCCACCCAATAACGATGGCCTCCAAACTACTAGCAACCGCCTGCCACCCAATAGCGATGGCCTCCCATCTTCTAGCGATGGCCTCCAGCCTAATACTAGCGATGGCCTCCAACCTAATAGCAATGGCCTCCAACCTAATAGCGATGGCCTCCAACCTAGTAGCGATGGCCTCCAACCTAACAGCGATGGCCTCCAACCGAATAGCGATGGCCTTCAGCCTACCAGTGATGGCCTCCTACTAGCGATGGCCTAATAGCGATGGCCTCCAACCTAATAGCGATGGCCTCGAACCTAATAGCGATCGCCTCCAACCTGATAGCGATCGCCTCCAACCTAGTAGCGATGGTCTCCAACCTACTAGCGGTTGCCTCCAACCTAATAGCGATGGCCTCCACCCTAATAGCGATGGCCTCCAACCTAATAGCGGTTGCCTCCAACCTAATAGCGGTGGCCTCCACCCTAATAGCGATGGCCTCCTCCACCCTAGTAGAGTATATTCCTTTAGCAAAAAGCGTGTCGCCTGAGCAGTTCCTCGGCACGTTTGATCGCGAAGCTGAGCTTCTCTGCGTAGTCTTTGCACTCGTTGTAGGTTTTCTCGGACGAGGGACGCTTATGGGACAAGACAACATGGAGATGACATAGCCATAGCCAACATAGCCAGAGCTGGATGCAAAAACATGCAAAAACTGTCAGAGATTGTTTCCAAGTGACTGTTTCTGTGGGTCGTCTCTGCTCGTTTGTCTCTAGGCCCTGATCTAGTTGTAAGATCTCAATGGCGCCTGACTCACCTCGCCATTCTCAGTGATCGAAAAGCTTCCCCCACCACGTGTGGAGTTCGTTCGATACCAGTCTTGAAGTTTCTCAGCAAATTTAAGCCCACCAGCTGCCAAATGCTTGAAACATGCATCAAAACGAACCCGACAACCATGAAGCCCCGTCTCTGTCTGACCCTTCGAATTCGAAAGCGGTGTCCAGTGTCCTCCAACCCAAGACACCGATTGAAGGACTTCATTGTACTGCTCCGCCACCTCACCCACTCCCGGAATCCGGTAGTTCCCGGTAGGGCCATGCATGGCTATCTGCCTTTCTCCACCAATTTTTTTTTTTTTTGGCTCGCAGACTCACTGTCTTGTGGCCTCTTTGGGGTGGGGGTGAAACCTCTCTCAACGACCCAAGCGGTCGGAGTGTCCTACCTTCTGCTTCCAAAGTCTGAATGCATAACGGTAGGGAGATAGGGATCCCACGGAGATTGAGCCGCCTGAAGAAAGGCGTCGTCACCAAGCTCAATCTCCTCGGGGTCCAAACTGCCTGCACTTGCTTCTTTGAAGCTATCTACAACTGCACGTGCAATGCTTAAGCGCATTCTTGGAGGATACTCTTTCAGCTCACTAGTCGCGAAAATGCCCTCCGCCGTGCGACCGATCGACCGAGTTGCAGGCATCTCAGACGATCTTTGTTGTTCAAGACGTTCTTCAAGTGTTCGAAGGCCATAAACCATCAATGCTGTGGGCTTTGGAGACTTTGCCCCGAACTGTCCCTGCCAGACTCGAAGCTTTCTCATAGGTAGCAGCGCCAGCATTGCACGTAGGGCCTTCAGACGCCATATCGACGCCAGACTTGCATCGTCTTCTGGTTCATCCGGGTGCTCGAGCAAGCAACCTGTTGCGGCCTG